CCGACTGTGACCTTTCTCTGGAACAGCAGCAGCACGGCGTCCATGATCCTCATGATGAGATGAGGAGGCTTCTGCAGCTTCCTCACCGTGGAGATGTCTGCTGGTTTGATGGTCTGCACACAGAGACAAACTCTGAGGCTGAACACGTGACACATGATGATGACGAGCAAACAGCACACAGGGACAACATGTGAGTCTGAGCTTCACTCAGATCACAGGAGGACAGCGTGTCGCAGAAACATGCAGGCAGGTCGTTTAACGCTTGTTGTTTGTCTGCAGGAGCTTTGATGGTCTCTGAGGTTTTCTCATGAACGGTGCTCAGAGCCGGCTTCACATGCTTTTACTTTACAGGTCAGATTTTAGCAGCTTAGTTTCAGAGCGGTCCACTGGGCCCTCCACCATGGGACTACCACCCAGTACACACTGCACCATTGAAGCTGACACTGGTGACCAGTCTCACTGACACCATCACACACTCTATCATTATCATCGTTCAACATGTGGACGGAGGCGGCCTGCTCCATCACCTGAGGGATGCAGGTGCTGCTCTGGTTTGGAGGAGGCTGCTGAGAAGCAGCAGAACATGGACGGACAGTTTCAGCTGCTTTTTGTTCTTTGTGTTATTATTGTAACGCAGATGTAACTGTGAGCAGGTGTCACAGGACCAGCTCTATTTACTGTCATGCAGACACTCTGAGTGTGTACATGAGTGAACACGGCCTCAAACCTGTGAGCACACACGGACGTTTCAGCTAAGATTGTTTCTCTGTGATCGTCTTCTTCTTTTGTTTCAGTTTTTACTTTAGTTTGAGTCAAACTGAAGCCAGTGAAGCTTCGACTCTTCTGTTGTCGCCCACCTGAAGCTCGTGTAAAGTCATGTAAAGACTCAGTGGACGAAGACAGCAAACAGACGGACACACGGCCGCTCGCCATCTGCTGATGAAGCTTACGTCGCTCTGACCTGAGCGCTCTGTGGAGGACGTGTAAATACAATGGAGGACTGAGTGTAACCTGTAGGGCAGCCTCAGCAGCCTGCAGAGCCGGTTTCGCAGCCTCCAGTTTGGACTCTGCTGCCATTTTATCGGCTTCGATCTCGTCCACGATGAGCTGAGCTTTATCCTTCACCTTCTGCACCTGCTGCTTCACCTGTAACCACAGAGCGGGGCATTAAACAGCTAGCTGACTCCGCCCACTTGTAGAGCTCCCGGTTTACATGTAATTAAAAGAAAAATGCCAATGAAGACTGTGTAGCACAAACTGAGGACGTCAGAGGTTTACCCCAGAGTCAGACTCATCTGTGACCATCACTCAACGTTTCACATGTTGTTTCCTCGTCGCTCTGCACTTCTGTTCAGTAACATGATGACAAACGGCGTCTGAGGCTCCTTCACGTTAGCTTCATGTTTCATAACAGACTAATAAACCTTTCAGACGCGTCGCTGTTGACCTGCGGTCTCGCTCGCTAACAGGAAACATGTTTTTTCACCTTTTCGGCAGCCTGAGCTTTGGCCGTGACCTCCTGCAGGACCTGGTCTGCCCTCTGGGAGGCGACGGCGAGCTCCTTCTCCTTCACCAGCAGCTCCTCAGAGAGCTGAGACACCGACTGCTCCGCCTCCATCAGTTTACAGAGACCTGCAGGAAGCATCACAAGCATGCGCAGCATCAGCTCGCCTCTCCACCTGAGACAGGCAGTACAGGACGGTTTAGCCCCTCCCATCAAACCATGCTCACCTGTCTGCATGCGCTCGGCCAGCGTGCCGACGTGAGCGATCTTCTCCGTGTAGACCAGCTTGTAGCTGTCGATGAAGGACAGGTAGGACTTTGGCGTCACAAACGTCTGGCGGCGGAAACGCTCGAAATACTCGCCACACTTCTCTGCCACCAGGTCCTGTGAACATCTCGGTCATGTGATCAGTCCGCTCAATACGCTGGCAATTATAAGCTACCAGATTATTGTGGGAGCGCTACCTGGAAGGTTCCCATGGTAACCACAATGCTTTGCTTGACATCCTCTGAGCAGCGGAGGTCCTGGTACTGAGACAGGAAGTGATGCGATACAGCGATGAGGGCGTCCTGAGGCCAACGCTGGAACCAGTCCACTGTGCAGCCAGAAATCAGACCTGGGAACTGTTCAGGGCAGAGGTCAAAGGTCACTGATGAGAAACAGTAATTCTTAGGAGGACAGAGCCTTTGGCTCCACCAGCTTACATCATCATCAGGGTCATGTGACCAGTGAACCTGAGTCCTCGCCGCACCTTTAAGGCACGAGAGCGGAACTTCTCCCCGACAGGCGAGAAACAGAGGACCACGTGGAGGTTGCTCCGCACGCGGGACAGGAAAAAGTCGTAGAGGTTCTCGGGCGTCGGCGGGCGGCGAGGATGCTGGCGCTTCATCACGGGAATCAGGTCCTGAGTGATGTCATCCAGCTCGTCTCGAGCAAACAGGTTGGAAACTTCACCGCTCGCCAGGACGTTGTTCATGTATTCTGCAGGAGAGGAGACAGGAGTCAGAAAACAAGACGGGCCCTGA